TTTTTTTTTTTTTTTTTTTGTCTCGTGAAAGAAATATAATTTTTAGAGAGAGAGTGGATACACACGATGCGGATATCGAAATACGCGGGATAGGATCGAGTGCCACTCGAAGGGTGAACTTTCCACTTCGTGAAAAATCTCGTGCGTGTTGCAAAAGTTGGTACTTGTCATTGGTTGTTGGTTGGATTCGTTGGAAATTTCCTCGTGTTTATCGCAGTTAACGGTTATAACGAGAGATAATCTGATATCGTGTTCTATCGCTCGAAAAGTTGAGAATTACGCTTATAACTCGTAAACGAGGTGAAGTGAGGTTTAGAATAGATCTCGACAATTTTCATTTTTCACGACCAGGCATTGACGACGATTTCAGAGTTTAGTTTTCTTTTTTTCTTTCTAAATAAAACGATAGGTATTTTTTAATTATATTTAAACTTCTTCGTGTGTTAACTCTTATCGGTTACACTCTTCTTATTTTTTTTTATAAATCGTGTTGATAAAAATTTAATTTTACTTAAATATAAACGTGATGCAAGAAAACAAAAAAAATTCTTCCTATCATATTCCAATCAATTCACAGTCAATTTTTCTCTTAAAAAACGATGGCTCGTTGAAAAATGAAAAATCGTCATTTTTGATTCGAGGAAATATAATTTAATTCATTTACCAATGACCAACAAAAAATAGAGAATTCTCGCTCTGAATTAAACGAAACGGCCACTTTTCTATCTATCCCTTTTTCTTCTTCTTCTTCTTATTATTATTTACGTCTTGCAACCCTCGAAGCGGTATCGCAATAGCATAAATCCGTACGTTTATCCGGCATAAAACTTTCCGCGCTTGAAAACGTCACAAAAATATCGCGGCAAACGTATACAACGTCGATGACGGTGGTAAGCGTCGCCTCGGGTTGAAATCTTTCCAGCATAGCATTGGAGTGAGTGTCAGCCGTTATTGGAGCTGTAAAATGTCCAAGTTCGTTCCTAAAGTTTCCTCAATTTCTCTCTCTCTCTCTCTCTCCCTCTCTTTTATATATATATGTATATATATATATATATCTTTGTCCTCCCCTCCCTCTCTCGACCAACAAAATTTCACACCTATAATGATCGTGAAAATTCCACTCGTACGTTTGTAATACTCGTAAAAATTCTCGATGTAACATCGACGGGGGGATGAAGTGGAGAGGAGGGAGGGGAAAAAAGAGCGAAAAAATTCGCGTAGAGAGCGTTGGAAATCTACGAATTTATGGCGACAATTGTTATTTATCTTGTCGTAAAACCCAACGATTTTTTCTTTCTCTCTCTCTCTCTCTCTCTCTCTCTCTCTCTCTCTTGTCGCGCGACTCGTTCCGACCGAATCAAAACCATTTCTTTTTTTTCTTCTTCTCTTCCCCTTTTTCTTTTATTCTTCGCTCAATTCCTTTCGAAAATCATCTATCTCCACGCGACATACTCGTGCTTCACGAAGGTGAAAACGTTTGTCTCAAACGTTAATAAAAGGGTGGAGCGAGAGAAGGCAAAAAAATGCAATTTGCGACAAATTGGGGATCTGTTTAATTCGGAACGAACGAATTGCGTCACGAGATTAATAAATCTTGAGATGGATAGACATTGTTGTATCCATCTCACGTGGAAAATGTGAGAAGGAAAAAAAAAAATGGAAAAACGAAAAGATCGTGTACACATCAATTCTGGTACGAGTTTCGTTGGCTAATTAACCAATGTTTCGATCAAGCGAAATTATGTGTAAACAGAGACAGAGAAGCGAAGATCAATTTCGAAGATCAATTTTACAAAGATGTTGGCCTCGTGATTCTTCCTAAGATCGATGATAATTCGATGCAATTGGAACACGAAGGAAACTTTGTCTGTTACAAAGAATTTCACACTTAAAGAATCCAACAACTTTCAGATCCTCCAACCGCATAACGTTGCATAACCACAAGTTTCGAAGTTCGATTAGATATAAGTATTTATATAAATTAGATAACATAAGATTGTACACTTCACAGTAGTGTAATAAAGGCAGTTTGCATGTTGCTTCGATATAGCGTCTCGTAGCATGCTTGCACGTTGTAGTACGTTGTTGTGCCCCGAGTAATAATAGTCTGTGTATATGGAATACATATAATCACCATATATATATATATACACGGTCCATGCACCTTAACCGCTTTCGCGTGTACACACGAATTTACCTTACGCGTCGCGGTATTTCCCCCCCTCCCCTTACTTCACTGAGATCGACCACGTCGACGGAAATTCGATGCGAGTGAATCGATTGAATTATCGTTACTATCTTATCGTTATTCGAAACTTCGAAGAAACGTTTAAAAAAAATTTAACGTCGAATTTTTAATTTTTCTTTATTTCTGGAATTTATAAATTTTATCCATATCCATATCGTTTTATTATTCAAACAATATATAATCAACTTCGTATTAGGATTTTAAATTTATTTGTAATGATTTAATTCGTTTGTTTCGTCGAAAAGAAATAGGATTGATTTGTTTTATACAAAAGATTACAGTACAGAAAAATTCGTAATAAAGAAGATTCTTTTATTAGTTTCATAGGGGAGGATTTTGTAAATTTCAAAATATAAATAAACACATAGATTGTTATCTCGGGATAAACGGTTCTTCCAACTTTTTATTTTTAAATTCCTCCTCCTTTCTTTTGCAAGATCAAGATTTCCCAAGGAAATTGGATCCTATCTTTTATATATCTCTTAGCCCTTTTATATCTTTCTAATCTTCTAAAATGAAATGCAAATGTGATCGGTTTACGATCGATGCATTACTTGTCTTTGATATAAGTGAACTTTTAATAGCCTCTTCGTTAACCCCGCGGGGGAAACTTTAACCACGTTTCGAATGTGGCTCCCTGTGTAATCACGCCCAACTAATAATAGACTAATCAAGAAACTTTGATCTCGAATAATAAATCTAGCCCATCCGGATCGGATGATTACGCTCCAACTATTCGCCCCCTCCCCTTCGGTCACTTAAACTTTCTTCGTGGAACGAGTTACTTAGCCTCGAGTAAGTGGAAATTTACGGAGGATGGCACGCTACAACGTTTGATGAATTCACGATGGGCTCGCGCGAAGCCATCCCGTGAATCCGATGAATCGAGAGTAATCAAAGTTTAAACGACGAGCCTTGAATATTTGACAAGAATCGTTCACCTTCTTCCACCCTATTCCCTTGCCACCTTTAAATTACGCTAAATTTCCACCCGTTAAAACGAAATGCGCCGCTTTTAAAAATATATTAAAACCGGACTCGCATAAAATGATTTCGATTTTCGCCATCTTCTTGAATAAAATTTTTCATCGTTTGAATCTTCCATTGTTCATTGAACTCGAACAATCGAAATTCAATTTGTCGCGTGAAAATTCGATCCTGGATATAACGCGTGCATCGATTCCATTGTGGAAAAAACAATAACGATAATTCGAATGATCGGTAACAATAGAAGAATTGGGGAAAGAATTGGGGAGCAGAGGGGAAAGGAAAGACGCGTTTTCCACGCGTTTTGTCAAAAGACTTTGTTACGCGTGGTCGAAACGAGGCTGTGAGGAGGAGGATCTCGATAGATAGTTACGCGAGTGTTCAAGTAGCCGATTTAACGCGTTACGATAACCACGACGCAAGATTATCGGCAGAGTGTTTCTGTCTGTCGACGTTCGCGATCTCAGTTCTGCGTTTCCCCTTCCCCGACAATCGATCGCTCGAGACACATTTTTTATCTTGTTACGATCGCGCCGCTTCACATTTTTTTTTTTTTTTCGTTTTTTCCTCCCTCTCGTCGTTGATGTCGTACCCGTCGTTGTCCCCCGCGTGATCAACACGATTCGACCAATCCAATTCCGCGTACAAACATTTTTTTTTTTTTTTTTTATATATATAAATTTCCTTCTTCCTCGTCGTCGTCGTCTCTCTCTCTCATACACACACTCTTACTCTCTCTCTCTCTTTCTCGCGACCCCTCTGATAAAAAAAACACACCGAACCTTTTTCCTTCCGCCTCGCGAGCAAAAAAAAGAAAAGAAAAAAAAAAAAAAAAAAAAGAGAGACGAAACGATACGCGCGAGAAAAAACGGGGAAAAAAGAAACGTGGAACAACGTGTTGAAATACGTGATTAAAAACGTGTACAAATCGCGTTAATCGGATAATTTAATCGATGCCTAAATCTGTCTTTACGCGCGTGCAAACACACACATCGGCTCTCTCTCCGCGTTCTCTTTCGTTTCACCGACGATAATTGTGTTATTCTCTTTTTTTAACGGGAGACAATGAATTATTACACAACGTGTCACGTCGCATTGTCCGCATTGTCCCCGACGAATTCTCGATCGCCGATTATTTAATTTTTTTTTTTTTTTTTTTTTTTTTTTTGCGTGAAAATTATTTCGACCATATAGCGTATACTTCAAATACGTTCTTCCACCCTTTTCTTCGCGCTATCGTACGCATATGGAACACGTATTGCCATTCAAGGGACTAATGAACGCGCACGTGTGCGTGTGTGTGTCTCGTACCAGGACTTCACGCTGGATTTTTACTTCCGGCAATTCTGGACGGATCCACGGCTCGCGTTCAAGAAACGAACGGGGGTCGAGACGCTGAGCGTCGGCTCCGAGTTCATCAAGAACATCTGGGTACCCGACACGTTCTTCGTCAACGAGAAGCAGTCGTACTTTCATATTGCTACCACCAGCAACGAGTTCATTCGTATTCATCACTCGGGAAGCATCACACGTAGTATACGGTGAGTTGTCTACACGTGAATTTATCCGATATCCGTGTCTCTCTACGTGTAAATTGAAGTGAGTATTTTTTTTTAATTGATATTAAGAAAGTGTGCGTATGTATGTTATATTAAGATGTTTTGTTGTTAAAAGAATTTTCAATTTCCGTCTCGAAACACTTATACGTGATGAAAATCTTTCGAAATCGTATAATTATTCGTAGAAGGAAAGTATATATGTATATATTTATTTAATAATAAAAGCATTTTCTTTATTGGGCAGATAAAGAAATATTCAATAGTAATTTCGATACTAATTTCTTATTTCTATATAACTGTAAGATAGTCGGTCGAGAATAGGAGCAATAATTTCTATAAACGAAAAGAAAAGGGGCGTACACGTTCAATATTTCACGGCTTTGGACCACGTCAAAAGTCTTCGAACTTTTTCGTAGTAATGGAATATATTCTCTGGCAGGCAACGAGGAGGCGCGATAAAACTGCCACGTTCAGACCCGATTTTAACCCCGTTTCGATACCACGTGCCGTCTCTAAACAGCTCGAGAAAGCAGTTGTACATATATATATATATATCCACGACAAATTTGTTCAGAGCATCGTCTCCAACCCCTGCTTCCTTCGACCCCAGCCCTCTCGTATCATCCCCTTCCGCGCTTCTTCTGAACGTAAAGTGTTCTGGTATTAACGGTGTCGCTATGTTCGGACCATTCATGCATAATATACCTAATCTTTTCCACCCTTTGTATTACAATCTTCCAGATCTTGAGATTCAAAGGGTGAAAAATGATCGAGAGAAATTGGATCGAAGAAAAAATTTTGTTGATTAATAAAAATTTGACATTCATTCTTTCATAATTAAATTCGTTCTATCTTTTCCACCCTTTCGTTTCTTCACAATCTTCCAGATCTCGAGATTCGAAGGGTGGAAAACGATCGAGAGAAATTGAATGGATCGAAGAAAAAATTTTGTTGATTAATAAAAATTTAACGTTCATTCTTTCATAACTAGATTCCTTCTACGTTTTTCACCCTTTCGTTTCTTTGCAATCTTTCAGATCTCGAGATTCGAAGGGTGGGAAACGATCGAGAGAAATTGAATGGATCGAAGAAAAAATTTTGTTGATTAATAAAAATTTGACATTCATTCTTTCATAATTAAATTCGTTCTATCTTTTCCACCCTTTCGTTTTTTTGCAATCTTCCAGATCTCGAGATTCGAAGGGTGGAAATATATAATATATAAATATTAAAATATAATAATAAAAATTTAACGTTCATTCTTTCCTAAGTAGATTCGTTCTAAGCGTTGACACCGTAATCGTATCATGTTACACTTTGAAAGTTTCATGTTTCTCTTCCACTATGTGTTAACAGTCGTGAAATAATTAACAAGCATTCCTCGCCGCAAACTAGATTTAGAATTATCGTGAATTATTTATACCTGGAAAAAATAAAATTTCGAGAAATCTATCTCCGAAAAGGGCAAAATTTAATCATTTATTAAAATTTTTCATGACTACTTTTTAAGAGAATTGTTCCTTTTGAAAAGTAATATCAGACGAAACCGATTATCATTTTTTTATCAATTTCACGAAAGAGACGAAATTAATGTTTTGTGTTTGTTCCAGTTTAACGATCACGGCATCGTGTCCAATGAATCTGCAATATTTTCCAATGGACCGACAGCTCTGCCATATCGAGATCGAGAGCTGTAAGTACGCACGTGCGCGTGTATAAATGCATACATACCGAAATGAAAAGCGACGATCTGAGAAAAAGTTCGACACCCTCGCCTCCGTCACAGAAACACGTTACATATATATATATATAAAAAACACACGAGAACATACGATCCAAATTCAATCATCGGAAACATCATAAAACAGTGTCGATCTTACGAACCAATCGGCAATCGACCGTCAATAATATTTCTTCAGATATCGTTTTTCTCAATTTCATTCGTTCCGCACACTCGATGAAAGTTTTTATGGCGATAAAAATGGAAGAAAAATAGTCGATTGCCGATTCGTTAAACCGCTCCAGTACTCAACTGTACATCGCTTTCAGATAAATCCTTTTTCAGATCAAACACGGAAACACGGCTTCTGTCGTGTCGACATTAAAGGGAAAAAAAAAAAAATAAGGAAAAAAAAAAACTTAAGAAAACCTCGTATATTCTTCTTTTTTACACGCTCATACTAACGAAATATCGTTACCCGACAAACCTTACAAACCCACCCCCTTCAAACGCGACCGACCCCCGCTCTCTCTTTCCACACGAACTCTCTTCTCCCACATCCCACGAGATACACGACTCCTCTTCCGTATTCTATTCTCTCTTCTCTGTCTACCTCTCCTTCTCTGGCTATCTATCTATCTATCTATCTATCTATCTATCTATCTATCTATCTGTCTGTCTGTCTGTCCATCACTCGCCACTTTTACACGCTCACTAACACACGAATCAGTCACACGATCCGCGACATCGTCGTGGATCATTTTCATTCACTCCACTCACTCACTCACTCACTCGCTCACTCACCAGCTCTCGCTCACTCTTATTGGGTTTTCTATATCCGTTCACGATGACTTTTATACTATACGTCATGGCATCGTGAATGTAACGCCGAGCCGGACGCGTACACCCCTTTTCGAAAGAAATATAGTGAAGAAAATAAATTTCAAGCATAGCCAAAATCTTCGATCGTTCGTCACAGATCGAATGGAAACTTTTGAATATACATCGAGAAAGCTCATTTTCCACGAATCAGGATCTCAATAGAGGGGTAATTGCAACAGTTTCTGCCTATATATATATATATGTATATATATATACATATTTCGAATGGAAATGACGCGCGCGGCTCGGCAACGAGGCACCAGTGTGCGAACAACAAGAGCACCTTGACGAGAAGCGTCCGCAATAGCAACGAGGCGATATCGTCTCGATGCGTATCATGCAATCAACCCCCGACTCTGTTGACTCTCTTCAGCACGAAAAAAAAAGCGAGTCGATCAGACACACGGCTCGATCAGACGTGCCGCTGCGTTTTTTTTTTTTTTTAGGCTGCTAATAGTGTTGTTTTATTATTATTATTTCACCAGAGCGAGTAGAGAACGAAAGATCTCGTTAAAAAAAAAAGAAAAGGCGAGCGAAAGAGCTGACGCCTATGGTATAACACACCAGTGTACGGTGGCGCACGTGCGGGAAAACACCTGAACCTTTGGTGCGTGGGTGTAGATCTGTGTGTGTGTGTATGTGTTTGAAATGGCGAGAATGGCTTGGATGCGTGTGCGTTGTTGTTGTTGTTGTTGTCACGAGCTCGTGCCGTTGATTATCACTGCTGCAAATTGCACACGCGATCATTGGCTGTGCGAAACCGAAAGAGGATGCTCTCCCTCTCTTACCGTCTCTCGAGTCGAGATTTTTCATTCGTCGATTCTAAGTTTCTTTTTTTTTTTTTTTTTGAAAAAAAATCAGTAATCAATGTGCAATATCCGTTTAATTCTTGAAAGTTACTCACTCTCGAATGAATCTTTGGAATCTTTTGGAAGATATTTATTAATATTTTTAGGCGAGAATGAAAATTATTTATGAAAAAGAAAATATTCTCAAGTTTCGAAAGTTGCTCTTTCGAGAGTTATTTTTCCTCTTGAATCTCGACAACGATTCTCAAACTTTTCTTCAACTCTCAAAAAAACCAATTTTGACTAATTTCTAACCTTAGATCGTTGAATCATAAATTTCGATGATTGCAAATCCTTCTATCCAATAACAGCGGATAACAGGTAAATAAAACGGAAACGAACGCATCTGGCAACGAATCTGGCCGTTAAATTGCAAACGATCGGGGGGTACGATACGATAAAACGATAAAAAAAAAAAAGAAAAGGAAAGAAAAGAGAGTCGTGAAACGCATCCGGTGCCTTTGATTATATACCAGAAGTCTAACGGAGATTGGTAATCTATACTGCGAACAATGGAAAAAGTTTCGTTCCCTAACTCGCCCCCTCGCTAAGAGAGATCTATATTAAAACTCGTTCGCAGGACGATACGACGAAAGGCCGGCGGAAGTCGGACGGTCGAGATATCAAAGTAACTTGACCAAGTTCCTTGATTAGTTTCGCGGAGTGGAGAAAGCCGGATCCCGTCCCGTCGTCCTTAATTGCTCCACCCCCGTCCCCCGGCTTTAAATTATTACTAGTCGTTAGAAGTATTTCTGTTCCGATCTGTCGCGGCCCCCGTCCATTCCACCCTTCCTCCCCTCCGCGGAATGGTAATTAATAACGATTAATATCGAGGTTGGTGCTACTTACGTAAAGAGAGGGAGGAAGTATCGATCGTCGATCCTCCTCCTCCTCTGGCATCGAGGGTCGAGTATCGGGCAAACATTCGAGTTGGCGAAACGAAATAAAATCCCGCCGTTAAGTGGCAATAGCCGAAACGAAAAGCCGATAAATCAACCGATGATCAATTATTACGGATTAATTATTATGTATGACGTTCAATTGCGCTCGAATTATTGTCCAGTAAAGTAAATTGTGTAACTGTATTAAAAATCTTGTGTTGTATTTATCGAGGTTCGTTAAATTTCGAAAATTTAAAATGGCCGATTTGTCGCCAGATCGTTCGCGTAACGATGGATTAATCTCGTTACGCGCCTGCTCGTGATTGTATTTAACGTCGGGAGAGCCTTGGTTGGTCAAGCTTTGGATGGAAAAAAACAAAAAAAATAAATAAATAAAAGAAGAGAGAAGGATATTTTTCGTTATCGAGCCAATTTATGATGTTTTCCATAGAACATTTTCCAATGTAATCGCTGTTGTTACACGATCGTTGTATCGTGGACGAGAGCGGACGTGCAATTTGCAGTAACATCGAACAACCGACAGGTAGCGAGCTCGATCACGCAGATCGGTCGGCTTAGTTAATCCGCATCTTATTTGGTGGATATCGAGCCGGCCGACGTATACGCAACGTAGACGCATTTTTAGTGGTGGTTTCACGCGTGTGAAAAGGAAGAGAGAAAGAAAGAAAAAAAAAAAAGATTGAAAATGCAAAAAGAGATTATTCTCGTGGAGAATAACTCGAGGAAAGAGTTTTCTTCCATCTTTGATCGCAATCTGCGTGGCTGTATATCATATAACCGTAAGATTATATATATTATTTATACGAGCATCCTCCGAAGGGTCTCCACTGTACCAATTTACCACTGTTGTGAACTGCTCGCATCGGTACTTAGCGAAACCTAAGTGTAATTTCTCCGCATCTGCGTGTCGAGATATCAAAGAGACTCGTCGTCTCTCTCTCGAATATCTCGCTTCTCGTGGAACTACGAAAAAGAGTATTTCTCTAAATCGAAGCACACGTATCGTTGTGTGTGGAAATCGTGTGAAAGAATGTATGGGAAAAAAGAGAAAAAGAAAAATATCGAACGATCGACGGAGAAATCGCACGTAAATTGAGAAAGGAAAAAAAAAAAAAAAAAAAAAAGAAACCGTAGAGCACACGCACACGGCTGTACATATCAGAGTTTTTCGAGAAAAAAAAAAAGAAAAGAAACGAAAAAATGGAAAAGAAAGGAAAAAGGAAAAACGTTTTGTTCTTTTTTTTTTTTTTTAGCTCCGGCGACGAAAAACGTCTTTAAACGAACGTGTGCTACATGAACCCACTGAAAGTCACCACTTTGCCACTGTACCACAATACCACCACCACCACCACCACCACCACCACCACCACTACCACCACTTGACCATCACTATCGCATAAACCAAGCCCCCCGGCCCCTCTAAAAAGCCTCCGACATATAGCACTGAGCCTCGTGTCCGGGGACGTAGTAAGGGCCGACGACGGCCAGCCCCGAAGGAGGCTAAAACACAGAAAACGACGTGTCGACTACGGTGCGACCGAATTAAAACGCATTGTGCATCTAGCCCAGCGCATGTAAGAACGAAACGACTGCAAAAGCATTTTAGCCACGACGAGACGTGCCGTGGCCCCGTTCGGTATGCCTATATATATATATATTATTATTATTATTATTATATTATTTTCCAAAATAATCCGGTTATGAATTAACGACTTTCAAAAACCGAAATCTTTTACTTCTTCTTCTTCTTTTTTTTTTCTCTCTGTTTTTTTTCTCTTTTTTCAAATAATACTCCAAAAGAACTACTGGTCACCCATTCCCTACTGGCCACTTTTGCGTATGCTGTATTACCGTACTATATATATGTATATATATGTATGTATATATGTATATATATATATGTATATAGATCGTAGTTTGATAATATATCCCGCCCTAGATGAAAGTCGGCATGCCTGTGGCACGAAAATATTTTGTTCCGCTCTCTTAACCCAGGACCGAATTTTCGACTGCGCAACTTTAGTCGGCATCGAGTTTTTGCTTCCTGTTCTACTACTTGTGCGTGCCTTTAACGACCCGTTGAATGCGCCGCTCGGGTCGTCGGTAATCTAGCAGAAACGATGTTTTCGTCGAGGGAGTATTTTTCAATTTTATTACGCGAAGATATTGCTTTATTTTTTACATATAAAAAAAATATATATATATCAAATTTCGTCGTCGATCGCTTTTGCGTTGCGAAATTTTTTTTTTGCAGACCGTGGAAAAAATTTCCTTCCGTGACAAATTACTTCGAAGAGTATCCGCGATATTAATCTCGAACGAAATGTCCGCAATGTTACAAAACTATTAGAATGAGGGGGTAAGGAAGCAGGGTCCGGAAAGAAATAAATTTTTTTTTTATCTTATTTTTATCTCATCTTTAAATTTTTTTCTTTTCTTATTCGAATCTTTTTTCTTATCTTCGGAAAAGATACGTTCCCCTCGTTTTCGTGTTTCAACGTTTCGATATTCGAATAATTCGAAAGAGTTTCGAAAGAGGGAATTCCTTTTGTACGAGATGGGAATAAATCGTTAGAACGTGGAAATTGATCGAGTGAAATTCGATCCCGGGTTAAATGGGATCCAATTTTAAATAGCTTGTACTTTGCGTATATCGCGAACGACGATTCCAACGGGGAAGGGTGGTATTGAAGAAAAAAAGGAGTTAAATTTCGTGTTCAGAATTCGTGTCACTGGTGAAGCACAAAGCATGCGGCATCGGGCATGATACGTACAAAATTACGTGGGCACGAAGCATGCGATTGTATATGCTGATGCATGTGTGTCTCTCTCTCTCTCTCTGTCGACGCGTGTACGTGGGTGTATCTCTGTGTGCGTGTGTGCGTGTATATGCGCGAAGGGAGCGCGCGCCCGAAATCCACCCCAAACGTTCCCTCCAAATCCCCCG